AATTTGCATTCCCACTAACAGACCAAAAAGCTGAGAAAAAGCAACAAATACTAATGGATAAAGCAGTGAAAATTCAAATGCTACAAAAGTCTGTCTACATATTCCCAGAACCCATCATTCCCTGCTTCAGAGATAGTAAATGGTCAGGAAGAACATTCATAGACAAGGAAATAACATGCTCAAAGGTCATCAAAATCCCTTGCAAGATTAGACAGCGAAATCCATCTAAGAAGATTGGAAGTGAGCACATTTGACCTTGGTTGAAACTTTTCCCACAAAAACATTAAGAAATGTTATCAGTATACCTTTCAGTAGAGCTCCCCCCATGCAAATGAATGTATCTTTTCTGACAGAAATCACTATCGTCTATTCACAGTTGCATGTCTGGCAGGAAGCAGGCAACTTGTTCCTGCCAAATGTATAATGTGATGCATTCAGAAATCAGCTTGTTTGGAGAGAATTCATATTAATAAATACTACTAATAAATATTAACCATTTTGGCCAACTTGTACATCTTTCAAGCCATATTCTGAAAGAATCACTAATGATATGCAGTTAAAATGGACATTTATCTTGTCCCACTAAAGCACAGCTTGAAGTGGCCACTTCCTCACCCACTAGGTCATGCTACAGTACAAACAGAAATCATCATTAATAAAAGTATTATAGGCAACCAGAATATGTCTTTTTCAGAGATATAGAACATCTCTCAGATACGGGGTTTTTTTCATAAAATCATGTCTTCCAAAAATCTGTGCCTTTAGCCTGTACTGATCATTATTCAGACTTGCTCCCTAATTGTTTTTGTACATATCCTCAAATTCTATTAGCTTTGTCAGATGTTAAGTGTTGTTTTGCCTTCTTGATTACAGCTGATGAAACTCACCAGTCCTAGCTAGCTTTGACTTAAACATCTTATACAGGTATACACATGTCCCTGTGGCATGCATCTTTACTTCCATTACTCAAGTTTATCCCATTCACTTTGATGTGTTGCCATGCACAGTTTCTCAGTTCTGGACAGAAATAGCATGAGAGTTTGTTTTGTCTATAGCCAAAATTCAGAATTGTCCAGATCCACAGAATCTTTGAGGGAAAGCATCCACCTGCTAGCAAGAGAGCTCAAATACAAAGGAAACACAAGTGAGTCACCATGTTCAGATCTATCGCTACGACAGATTTTGGGCTTCTGTTTAATGTTCCATTTGCCTGAGCCTTCAATTCTAGATTCAAATAATCAGCAGCCACTCTATTCACTGCAAGGTCGCCTTCTGCCATCAGATCAGATAAAGAACTTGTGTTTCTGTCAAACATTTCAGAGCTCACTCAGGACGTCTGGGCACTATGCCCACCAGTCTAGCTCATGCTTGTTGTACTGGATTCCAGTTGGATTGGATCCAATGCTGGCTGGATGGTGAAAGCTCAGATAACGACGAGCCCAAAAGTCTGCTGTCCTCAACTTCCCCCTTCTCAGAACTGTTGCTGAAGCCACAAATTTTTTTGCATATGGCTGTGTGCCACAAGAGGAAAATGAACTCAAGGGGTCTTAGGGAGTCTCTATGTAGAATAAATGTTTCTGGTTTTTCCTCATTTCGCAAGAGTGCTTGAGATGTTCAGATGAAAAAAACTCTTTCATACCGTGAAAATTTCCAGGGTAAGCTACCAAAAATAGCCTTTTGACTTTACTGGCCACTTCAATGGCAGATAGATAGTATATCCCACATTACTTGTCTGGCTTGTAATTCTGTCCACCGCAGCACAGAGGAATGGAGAGATCCCAGCTGTAGAAGGGACTGGGGAGATCCAACATCAGTATAGAACAAATAAAACAATTTCCTGCAGCTAAACCCTCTACCTTCTGACTTACAAACAACATATATTGCTTAGAAATATAGCCAGTCTTGAAGGCAGGCACATAATATCTGCATCCTCTTTGAAGCTACTATTTCACACGTGACTGATTCTGCTTTTTAAGCATATTCAGTTTAGAATCATTCTTACCACTACCTCTTTTCATCTCTGGCACCATGCAGGATTCACTAAAGCCACTGTCTAGTGACTTTCAAGCCACACACTGTCATGATCACTAGAGTGGAATAGTTGCCTCCTTTCTCATCTGACATGTTTTACATTTGATTTCAGTCCCTAAACAGGCAGAGAGAGCAGTGTGTTGGCTAATCTGAACTAAGTTTTGCTTAGCCAATGGAGTCGGGAGAGTAGCTTCCAGTAGGTAGGAGGAATTTCAGAGAGACTGTTCACTTGAACAAAGCACAGCTTTCAGCTAAATGTGAGCAAAAGGAAGAAAGGGGACTTGTAATAATCAAGATGCTCATAATAAGAAGAAATACAAAGCCAAGAGAAAGAAAAGCACGACGAGATATTTAGATATCTATATATTCTAAACAGTGAGATGTGTAAGAAACATGGTAAGCTGGCTGTGGAGGAGCAGTCATAGAGATACCAGTCAGAAACAAGCGTCTCACTTGACTTACTGAGTTAACTTGTCACACCTTCTAAAAAGCTAAGTGATTTTCCCTCTGACTTTATCAGGCAGAAGGCCACTAGTGCTTATTGGCAAGTAAGGCCTCAAATGGCAAAATACTCTATTTATGGTTTGCTGAAGCAAGGTATGGCGGTTCCCTGTAAAACCAATCTGTGAAGTAGCAGGTACAATGAATTCATAGCATATCTGCAAACAACAGGCAATTCAGTTAGGTCTGGAAAAGGAAAAAAAAAGTTTTGTCTCCAGCTACTGCAAAACCAGAAGAAAAACCACAAGCAAAGTTACGCTGAATCACAGCACGAGCCCACTGCAAGAAAACATGACCATGCTTATACAGAGACTTTCATTTGCACAAATTTTGATTCCAAACAACATTCTCTTAAATAAATACTTGAAACTGTGGAAAAGTGACTACTGGCAACAGGAATGCATACTTTGCTATTCACATCTCTAAAGAAGTGTTTCCTCAAAGATGTCTTTGGCCCCACATGAGAGATGCTGTGGCTGTTGTAATTATCTCTCCATGATCTTTCTTCTTGTTTGGATGAAGATGCTGTCTCTCGCAGAACAGCTTCTGCAACCTAATGGAGAATTTGTTATAAATATATGATTTTAAGTTCAAGTCACAGCTAGTAGAATCAAACAACCCTCAAAGCTATCTGGTTTTCTGTTGTAATAAAAATGATGATATTTAAATGCAATGAATGAAATTCCACATCTTGTTCTGCTAGGGACTGAAACTCCCTAGTATCAGACACAACTATTTTTGTATATGGCATCCTAGCATCTTTATATACAGCATCCTAATATTACTCTCACACAACAAAAATCTTCAGTGGCTTGAGCAGTAGTTCTACACCACCAAATGTCCCAAAGCAGTAGAAATAATACAGAAATCTGGCCTACAACAGAAGTCAATTAGCTTTTTCTTATCCTTGCTTTTAGTGGAATTTTTCTATTTTTTCATTCTGTACATGTGACTCTAATCTTTTTTTCTGACCTTCACAATCTGAGGATGAGTCATGTGAACAGGTAGGTTTGGGAAAATTAAAAATAAAAAGTGAAATGTAACTTGAAATGACATTTTCAATGGAACTTCATAGTGTTAGGTGAAAAATCTCATTAACAAGTACATTAAAATCAAATAAAAAGAGAGACCAAAACTTCTTCACTCCATAAAGCAAAGGACAGGTTAATTGGTGGTTCTAACATCATTTAAAGCTACATTACTAGAAATTAGATTTGCAAATTAGGGCAATACCTAGGAGTAAATGGCTCAATTTTATTTTCTCCTAGGTTCAGCCACTCTGTGGAAGAGTAGGATTCATCTCACCGGACTGCACCATCTAGAAGATAATTATCTGTTCTAGTCGCCTTGACACACATAGGTTGAAATTGATCCCACTTTAATTAGATTTGCAATTAGGGCAATACCTAGGAGTAAATGGCTCAATTTTATTTTCTCCTAGGTTCAGCCACTCTGTGGAAGAGTAGGATTCATCTCACCGGACTGCACCATCTAGAAGATAATTATCTGTTCTAGTCGCCTTGACACACATAGGTTGAAATTGATCCCACTTTAAAGGCACATATTTTTCTCCCTTGAATATACAGGGAGGTGAATGACCCACTCAAAACAGACTTCTGTCTTTTGAATTCTAGTCTGAGCCATTTAATTTCACCAAGACTTGCTGTCTCCTGTGTAAGAAGTGGGTAACAGCATTCTTCTCCCTTCCTTTAACTCCTTTAAATGAAGTTACTCAGTTATATAGTAAGGTAGCAAGTAACCCTACAAGTATATTAAACAAATGGGATGCTGAATGAGAAAGGGCAATAGAATCTGTTAACCTATGATTAAACCTCTTTGATTTTAGATCACCAGAGACATTTACACTAGCCAGCTATATTTTCCACCCTGATTGTCTTTCCTGCTCCACCCCAGTGTAACTCCCATTCAGGAGTCCAACTTGTGCCTTTGTAAGGCAGGCCACTGACAGCGTTTTCTTCCCAGAAAGTTTACAGCACAAAATAAGAACTTAAATGAGATTTAATAAAAGGTCCCACTATATCTATTGCCAGAAACCAGCCTGCATCTGGCTGAAGAGCTGTTTTGTTAAAAAGGTAAATGGCATTATATACATAAATACTAGAATTAATTTCAGGAGACTTTAGTTGTCTAATTTAGGCACTGAATCTAAATTAGTTATCTAGACTCCCTCCCTAGTTAGTGGAGGGAGACATCTGCCCTGATATAAGTGTCTAAGATAGGTTGGCTGAATCACCTTGTAGAGGTACCCACCTCATGGATAACTAAAGCTAAGTGGAAGAGGACCACACAAAGAGTGTATTTTAACATGGCTTACTACAGAGCTGATTTCCCCCGCTTCAGGCTAAGCATAGCAGGAATGGAGGAACAGTATTCACACGTGCCAGCTCCAAAATAAAACTACACCTGAATTTTTCAGATACTCTTAAACAGATAATGTCTTCTAGTACCGGGGTCTCTGATTTTCTGTCCATGAAATTCACAGCTTCTGGGGGTTTTTCTGCTTTCCATCTCTGATGTTCTGAAACTCTGAGCTCATCTCGAAGCTCCATGTTCTGCCTGGTCAGCATCTCAACCTGGTCTCTCAGCTTGCCATAGGCAGCATGCCAGCAGGACTCATTTCTCTTGAACTCCTCCTGCAGTCCCGCAATCTGCTGTTTTAGTATCTACCAGCAGAAAAAAAGTGTGCCATGTCATTGCTTGCTCTGGACTAGGCATGCCCACCTTATACACCCAGAAGGAAACATGGAGTTTTTTGTTCTGCTTAAAGTCTACAGTATAAAGGTCTTCAATATAAAGGTCTGCAATATAAAAAGAACACATTTGAAATTATTTCTTAAAAAAAACCCCAAAACAAACAAAAAAACCCCACTACCTTGCAAATTCCTATATTTAAAACAAACCAATTTGTTATATGTCTTAAAAAAAACCCCAAAACAAACAAAGAAACCCCACTACCCTGCAAATTCCTATATTTAAAACAAACCAATTGTTACAAGCAAGCAGAGAGAAGTCCTTGCTGTGTGAAGGAAAATCAGGAAATGCAAACTAACCATGCAAACGAACACCATTAAATGTGGATGTTTTCAAAAAAAGGCAAGGATACAAGGTATATTTTAATGGCAAAAATGTCAGTTCATCAAATCATGTAGTGACAAGGGCACGTGATTAGTTAAATGGTCCTTACAAACAGCAGGGGATCGCAGAGACATAGTTTTCAACTGAGTTCAGGAAAATGAAAGTAGTGAAATTTGGTGCATTTTGGAGAGGACTTTTCCATATACATGCATCTCCATTATTTTTCCCTACTCCCTTCTCCTTCCCTCACCCATGCTGATGCCAACACTGAGTCCTCTTCCTTCATAGCACTCATGCTGGATGCTACAAATGCAATGTTGGTGGAGTTAAGCTAGAAATGTGCAGTTTGCTCTGTAGTCAACCAATCGTGATGTGCAACCCTTTCCTACTTTCCCTTCACTTGTGTATCTGCCCACTTGTGTCCTCATCACCATCCTTTCTTTGCTGTGAGCTGCCTGGTCAGAATTTGGCACATCCATTGGCCATCTTCAAGAAGCAGCAGACTTCTGAACTTGGGAATCACACAGATAAGTGTCTCAGTGTTTTGTAATTGTTTTGTGGAAAACTAACTTTTTGAACCTGCACTCATTATGTTCTCAGGTGGGAACAAAAGATTAAAACAATTCTATCAAACTTCATCTCTAGGGCTAGACCTAGTCAAGAAACACAGTTATTCCCTGGCAAAAATTCTAACCATTTTCTTTAAATCCCAGGTAGAAATAAAGCTGATGTTTCAAAATATTGTGCAGAGAGAATGTTCAAAATATTTTTATTCAAAATACTAAAATAACCTCGCTGAAACAAATAATAATTTCCTGTTGTAAATGTTACCGCTAGAGAAATATGGAATGTGAGCAGAGAAAACATTCACTATGTGTATGGTACAAAAACACGTATTTCAAAAATGTACAAATGAAAAATAAAGAAAGTATAGAAAGTTTGAACAAAGTACTGTCTTGCCAGTTTCATTTGTTCTGAAACTTTTCTGGTCAAGAAAATAATTGAAATTGTCAGTTTGCTGTCAAATATATCAGTTTGGTTTAGACATCCTTCTGCAGCAGAACATTGTTCCAGACATTTCTGAGCATTACCATTGCCTACTTTTTTATCCTACAAAAATATAGCTTTTAGCTGCCCCTGTCTCCTTTATCACCATCTCACATGGCTCACCATTTTTTCTTCTCTTTATAAGTGACTCTTCTAGAAAATTACTTAAAGTCATATTATGTTTAGCTATTTTTAATAGGGATAATAGCCACAGATATTCAGAGATTACTTTATCACTAAGGAGGCTGAAACAGAGGATTCAAACAGAAAAAATCCCCTAAAGGAACTTAAAAGAAACTACAATAAATGACTCAGGGATGTTATTAGGCAGGTTAGGTTGTTAGATACACAGCTAGATATCATCAAAATACCTCAAAGCCAAAGGTCAGGATAGTTTAAAGAAAAAAATCAACAAACTCCCAGCTCAGGGATGAGAATAGAGAATGATGGCAAATAACTCTGTGCCACTGGCATAATGGCTCTTTATATCAGAAAGATGTAAAGCCCACTATGGCAGGAGTTGGAAATTTTTCAAGAGCCAGCTCAGGTTTGGGAAAACCAGTACAAGGAAGTACAAGGAACATGGGAACCTCCCAACCTCCCTTATGAAATAGAAGGCACAACCTAATTTTTTTCTTATATAAAGGAAGTGAGATGTACATTTAAAACACAAACCAAAGCAATGTCCTATTAACATGAAAAATCTTCACTGTACACACAACTGTCCTCAAGAAGTAGCATGAATAACTGGCCATCTGTGACAAATGGAAGGATTCAGGTACAACCATAATATGCCTGCATGGAAGGATATTAATTGATAAGAACTGCATATTTATTCTACAGAAGACAGCTTACTTGTATTTCTTCTGACTTCACATTTTCTCCAGTGACTCTAGCTGTTCCTTTGAACTTGCTATGGGCAATTTTTTCTTTCTGAAGTGGGTGAATTTGGTCTTTATTGTATTCCAAAGGGTGAGTCAGCTCCTGGCTCCTGACAGTCTTGAGCTGGTCCATTCGTGTTCTGTTCAGAAGGTAAACAAAGAGTATGAAGTTGGCATAAAGACTATAACAAAGGACTGTCTTTAGATGCACCTCCTTTGGATGTGATTTTCGGGGGACTTGGGCATGTCCCATATATGCTGATACTGCTGGGAGTGGCAACAAGTTATGAGCACTTGTCAAAATTGAGGTTCTTCATCACTGGGAACAATCATGCATGCATTCAGCTGCAAAATTTATTCCATAGAGCAGATGGAACAATTCTCATTGAAATTTTCTGACAACGTCATGACCATGAACTTAGAGGCTTTTAAACACTTCTGTTCAGAGAGTGAGCTGAATTAGGGCAGACCCGCAGAAGGCACGGCGTGTTCCCTGGCGTTGTACCTATGAAGAACTTCATCATGCAAGGCTGGGGACTGAGCTGTATTTCCAGCAGCCCAGTCATTCCTACAAATGAGAACAGCCATGGACCTAAATGAAAGGGGATGAAGTACTGTACTTTCCATAGCTAAATATACTCCAAGAGTTAAATGTGGGAGCTGAGCACCCAGAAGAGATTTTGCCTTTGAACTCAATGTCTCAAGGCATGAGTGGTCTGGAAGTGCACTTAAAAACTTAGCAAGAGGGCAAGAGTATAAATCTTTACATATCCTCAAACGGAGTATATTTGTATGACTATGATCCAGCTGCTTAGTTCATTTTTAATATGATATTAAATTATTTGTTAGCTTCCTGCTTCAGCTCACTTCATGACCTACAGCCACCATCTGGCCATCACTATTACTCGAAAAGCAACAAGAGCTACAGGAGGCAGCCATGACCTCATGTTTTCCTCTCAGTAATGGAGTTTAGCATTTCAGTAGCAAAATCTGAAAATTCTCAAAGATACTAAGAGATAAACGAACCCCCCATATCCTGCTGCTCTTTACAATTCATTACCTAATTTTTATTTTTTGGTTGTTTTCTATCCTAAATAAGCCTACCTAATATTCTGGTTACAGGCATGCTAAAAAAAGTCTCATCAATAATCAATAGAAGTATTAATTATCCTCACATTAATACAGTTAAATTAGCAAATATAGCCCCTGTGTGATTATGTCCAGCCCACCACTGCTCCATATCCAGACCAGTTGCCCTGAAATACCACATACTAGAACAAAAGCAAGATGCAAGATCTATATATAACATCTTCCACTGAAGACTGAACAGTACTGTCTTATGTTTCTTGCACCCTGCAAAATAAAATCCAGGTGGCTATTCCTTCCAGCAGCTCAGGTGATATCAACCTCTTCAGAATTGCACAAAAGTTACATCTGTACAAATAAACTAATCAGAGCTGGAGCATGAACCCAAGCGTGCAATTGCCCAGAGTGCCATATTGCTAGCATGACCTCTGGTCTTGGCATCAGCCATCCAGCACTGTACTAGGCAATGCTGGGCAAGGTTTGGAGGTTAGCGCAGGCCAGAGATCATGTCCAGCAGACAACTCAGATGCAGCCACCCTGGTCTGCAGGGTAAGACAGGTTAGTCATATGGAGGTGTTATGCTGTGCCTCTTTGCCTCAAGGCTAGAAAACAGACCTTGGCCTGAGGAAATGTAATAAGCAAGGACACCAGGAGCACACACAATACTTCTTTGGAGCCTCAGACAACCAGTTCGTACCCTAGCTATAAGTTGCAAATAGGAGCTAGGTGCACATCACAGATATAAAATATAGAAAAAAAAGGCTAAGTACTTTGTGCTAACTCGAATTCTTGCATAAGCCCCAGGCATACCTCTGCATGAGGCACATCACAGCAGGCTGGCTGTGAGGCAAAAACATACATTTCCAAGAAAAAGCCTTTTAGCGAAATGCAGATTGAAAAAACCCAAACCTGCTGGCTACTGCTGTTGGTCCAGAAAGAGAGCAGATTCAACACTACAAGGAAATTATGTATTAAAAATGGAAACAAGTTGTCCTTGTTGAAGGAACAAGGAAATGACCATCATTCAATCCTTTGACTGATGTCAAGGGTAACTACCTCAGTGCTGCAAGGGTGGAGCCACAGGCTGCTGCCTTGAGCACACTCCAGGCTCTGTTAGGCACCAGATACACACAACACACTACATCCCAACTGTTTTCACCCTCTTGCCTGTATTATTTGTGCCTGCAAAGGTCTAAAACCAAAGTGCTTGGAAATGAAAGAATGGATAGACTGGGCATGTCCAGGCATGTCATGCTGCTCTCAAAAGGATTTTCATTGCTTCCAGCGAGCACAGGTTGTCAACATGGCACAAGTGAAATGCTATCAATGTAGTGGTTGTCTTGTGTTCCTAGTAGGCTTACTGGTTTAAAAATACGAAGCAGATTCTTGGATTGCATACATCAGCACAGGGCCAATGCAGTCAAGGAGGAGAAGCTGCCTTTCGCAATTAGTTTTAGCTCATAAATTACAAAAAGTGAGTGGAAAGATCCACACATTGTACTAGGCAGGTATTTTTGGATAAACATCTGTGTGAAAATGTTAGGGGCTACTATGGCTAATGACATGAATAAATCCGCAGAAACCTCTTTTAAAAACCTGCACTATTACGAAAAAATCAAATCCATGTCATCTGTGAGGCAGCACCGTCAGCAGGCAGAGAATGCAGTGCTAGCAGAGTGCACTGCAGTAATTCTGCACTAATACATCCCTCCACAGCCAAAATTTACACCAGTAAAAGTAAAAGCAGCACCTAATTTCATTAGTAATTTCATGAACTGCCAAATCCCACAAATATTCACATCTGCAACACCTATCACGGTCAGCTGGCAATCATCTTCCAATATGTTTGCAAGATCACAAACAAGAAGGATGTTTAATGAAATCATTTATTTTTAAGACATTGAAAGTATTTTGCTAAAAGACAGCTATAGGAGGAAATAATACAAACTAATAAATGTAATTCAGAAATATCCTTTAACACTAATCCCATGGTCTTTGAAATCAAAAGGAATGAACAAGCAGATGTAAAAAATAATTTCTTAGTTTGCATTATATATTAAATATTCAAAACAATAAATTGTGCTTATTTGGCACTAGCTAAGAACTAGGCTTGAGATGTAGAAAGGAAAAGAATCTCTCCTGTGTTTACAGTAGATGGTACCTAGTAATTTCTAACAGATTTCATCACATTAAAATATATATGCTTGATTTGATTGTAAGCATGCTAAATTTTCATTAGAGGCATTTGCATAACCTATAATGAGTTACAGTTGTGATGGTGCTTCCATTCCAAACCCCATACTTTCAAAACTTATTTGTTGCAGAGATTTTGTGGTAAGGAATTATTTCACTTCTATGAAGATGTAAAACAAAACAAAACAAAAACAATTTTCAGCATTTAATAATTACAAATTACAAAACCAACTGTCTTGAATTTTCAAGTTCTTCATCTATATGGTACCAAACGCATCCTCAGTCTAGTCTGAAGATAGGTATTTCTGAAATAACAATGCTGTTGGCAATGACATATGCTATACACTTTTTGTTAACTTTGGAAATATGGGCTACCCTGATGTGAATGTGATATGAGAAGTTTATCCTTTACTCCATCAGAGGCCTGATCCCATAAAATAAATTATCCTGAGTTCTTACTGATTTCAGTAAGATGTTCAGCAACTTCTAAAAAGCATTTGGCATTGGTCAGCTTTAAGACCCAAACTGCACCAGTGTTTTCAGAGTTGGCCCCCTTCAGTTAGGCACTTTACTTTTTATCTAGACAGCTAAATAAGTGTTTCAGTTCTGAAACAACTTAGATGCAGTTGAAAAGAGGCTAGCTAATAAGTATGAATTTAGCAGTCTGATTTTAGGGATCCTAAAGGAAATACTGACCTTACTGCACACGCAAATCAATTTCTGGTGTATACAGATTTACCTGCGAAACTGCATTGCTTTCTCTTGTTCTTCTTTCACTCTAGTCAGTAAAGGGGTTCCTCCGTGATATACACCAGTCTCTAATCCTCTGGTAAGGATGTTCTGAGTTTCTTCTATAAAGACATCTATATTAGTACACAGAACTTTGTGAATATTTATGAACCCTCTACATATTTAAAACCACAGACTGCATAAGTGCAGTAAGCTTTATTGCTTAATCTATCAAACAGAATTAATGTATTTGCCTAATTATGCAAGTATTCCTTTCCCAGCATAGTTCTTAGCAGTGTAATCCAAGCCCTACAAATCACGGTAAGTAAAACATATTTAGGGATATATCAGAGTCAGTAGCTGAATTCCTTTTCAGGAATGTGAATGCCACGTGATAGTTCAAGCTTATTTTGAATGTAACTTTCAAAGAGGCCTCAGGAACCCTTTTTTAACAGCAGCCTGACATGGAGTAGAGTGTGCTTAGCGAGTTGTGACGAGCAATTGAGAGCCATCAGAAGTTAATATTTCTGCCCCGGCGATTACTGCAGGTAGGACAACTGATTTTGACTGATCTTACACAAAGAGACAGTGAATGGGTTTGGGATGAGGAGTTAATGTGGGGGAAGTCCTTCAGTGGAAACTAAGAGAGGAGAAAAGTTGAGAACCAGTTTAATAAAAAGGATTAAATCCTGCTCAAGCAGGATACCATTTCATTGCCAGAAGTAAGATCACTGGGCCAAAAGGCTAGAAAGATTGGTTGACCAAAGAACTGGGACCTCATCCAGGACAACCTGAGTGAAGATGTTCTTAGGAAATCATCATTTTCCACTGGTCTGAGGCTCTCTGTGTCTTAGGAGCAAAACATGCAAATTTGAGAAATTATTTTGCCCACCTTTTTTAAAGTCACGTTATCTCTGAGGAGGGTAAATAGAAAATGTGAACATCTCATTGCCAAGGTGTCAGTGAGAGGAACATACCTAAGCTACGGGGAACTCTAGCACTGACTCCAGACACTCACTGAACCTCTCACCTGTTTCATGGGGTCAAAAGTCTGCACTTGAAAGTGCATCTCAAGCCACAGACTTAGGAAAAATAGCTAGTGACAATGGAGAGCCGAGCATAACAAGGGGCTTGCAGATATATCTCTCCCCTCTTCTCTTTTTTTTTTTTTTGCAGTTTAGGACTGAGAAATACTGACAGAGGTGGGCATATACCTAGGGAACACACACAGAATGAGTCACAAATCCAAGAGAAATTTTTTTCCCCTGTGGAAAATAAATGTAAATAAAAACTTGAGTAGCTCTTACCTAACGTGTCTGTAAACAGTTTTTTCTGTGGTTCCTCCACTGCAGGGGTTTCTTTAATCTTGAAAGCGGGAATCTCACCAGCCACTGTTGAGGATGGCAGATCTAAGCTTTTAACATCCCTGGCCCTATTCTCATTCTTTGATTCAGGCTCACGCTCTCTCCTTTTCGATCTTGCAAGATGAAATAGGGACTGCTGAAGAGAAGAGCAAGCCTTGCTCCCTTTCAGCCTGACAGCCCCAGTAGTGGAATCACTGCTGCTTGTGCTACAGGAGAGATCCTGTTGTCTTGAGATCGCTTGAATACCTTGTTTCCTTGGGGGTGATCTGCTGTACTTCTTAACAGACATTTTTTCAGTTCCTCTGGGCTCATCACTAGCATAATCACCATCAGAGAGATCCAAATGTCCATCAGTATGATCTACTCCCTGAGGCCCATGCTGGGAGGGATACTGAGCATGGTGAGATTTGGGGTCATCATCACTGTTGGAGGATAAGCAGCTTGACTCACAGGACAAAGATGCAACATGCCACGTCGACGCAGTTGTCCCCTTCCTTTGCCACTCCTGCTGCAAGGCTGAGGATGAGCTTCCCTTCTCCACAGCCTCAGGTGAGCTACATGTAATTTTTACTATCTTATCATTGATCATCTTAAACTCAGTATGGATTTGTCTTTTGCTTTCTGAGCTCTGGCTCCCCGAAACAAGTTCCTGTGGGCATACCTGAACCCACCTCTGACCCTGTGTGAATGCAGGGCCTGCACTCCACTCTGCCTCCTTGATGTCATCTGTTTCTAAATTCTGAAGTGGAGAATGCTTTTGCAGGACTTCCAAGGTGGATTTTGCTCTCTCTGTGAGATGACCCTTCAGAGGCTGATCCACCCTACCTAGGTCCTTTTGCAGGGTACCCTCCACAGGTCTTCCATCAGTTCTGCCTGCTTGCCCTAGAGAATCTGTATGATGAGTTTCCCTTTCCTCACCTACTTGTAGGTTCATTTCTGTTACTGTTTCAGGACATGGTTGCAGGATTTCAGGCCACCTTCTCTGTGGTGAGTCAACAGGATTTTCCTTTGCATCTTCATGTCTCCCAATCACTTCTTTTTCTTCTGCACTTTGCTCACCTACTTTTGCGTCACAGTCACTCTGAGCCTTTATCTCCCACTCAGCTAAAGCACAGTCTGCTTTTTTTTCATGTGTACCGATCTGCATGGAGCTACTGACCTGCAGATTTAACTGAGAGCATTCCCCTGGCTGCAGTATGCCTGCATCCCCTTGGCCAGTCTGGGAGAAATGACCCCAGCAGTCCAAACCAGCTCTTCTGGGATGCTTGCTGTCTTCTTTTAAAGGCTTCTGTTTATTTTTTTTGAGCCTTGCCATACCTTCTTTTCGTTTCAGAAAAGCCTTCCGAGGTGTTACTTTTGCCTTGCTCTGAAAAAACACCAAAAATCCTGACAATCACAGTCTGAGAATCAGTCTCCAGAAAGGAAGATATTTATGATAATTGAAAAAGCCGAGACACCAGAAGTCTTAAAGACACTGGCTATGGATAACTGAGTACATAAGTAACAGCCCCGAGACTACAGGGAAGGTACGAGAACTTTTATGTGACGCCTCCATTAATTCATTAGTGGAGTCAGATGGTTAAGATGGTGCTAAGTGTTTATATGATAGAAGATGAGAAAAGTTCTGTCTGTCTTTGTTTTTAAAGGAAGTTTGAGTGTTTTTTACAATGTGACACAGAAATATATAAATGCATCAGTTTGAGATGTTATTTTGCCAGGGAGACATAGAGAAAATTCCCGAGTGATGAAATGTGCGTCTTCCAAGTCAACAAGCCTAACAAAATGCGACAGAGAAAATTCCCGAGTGATGAAATGTGCATCTTCCAAGTCAACAAGCCTAACAAAATGCTGAGTCTGACACGTCTAGGTGTCAGACATAAACTCATCTCAAACTGCACATAAGGCAAAAAGCAGAACAGTATTACTGTACTTGGCCCTTTTACAAAAACTGTGTTTGGAAATGCCCCCATTCTTGCATTAGTGGCACATGAGAGACTGCATGGACCATTTATTATGAAATAAACTAACGGAATCAACTTTGAGGCCTAATTCAGCTAAGTGTGTTGAAACTCAGGCACAAACTATGACCCAGAAAGTGTGTAGAAAGAGAAGAATCCAGTGGGAAACAGTGGGGAATATGACTGTGACTGAGTAATACAGGTTTTTTACTTTCGGGAAAAATCTTCCAATATCACATGAAAGAACAGTGGAAAAATGTGCTGCCATGCAACGAGCCAAAACACAGCCCACACTATACCCAAGTCCATGAGAACTTGTCAAAACCAAAGTGAATGCACCAATGGCACAGTACCTGCTGGTCCTTCTGCTGTTTTTCTATGAGATTATTGTCTACTTCAAGTTGTTCTTCAACAAATTCTTCAGAAGTCTTCTGTCTAATACCAATTGCTGGTGTGATTGGCCTAGGCAAGGAACAAGAAGGTACTTATTTGTAAGGTTCTCCAATTAGTTTTCTTTTGATAGTTCTCATGGAGCTGATGTTGAATTTCTCTGCAATTTTTTTTTAAATGTGAAGCATGTTAGTAAAAAGCCAACTATTATGTGACATCTAAGTCTTACTTTAAAACATCCTGTCTAGACTAAACATTAATTATGCTTTTAGCAAGTAACTTTTTTTTGCTGGTATCAGTCTCTCCTTAAAAATAGAAAATAGTCAAAAGGAAAAATATTTCAGGCATTTTCTCGAGACTACAGCTGGTTGCAGTCACAAAGAACTCGCTATCTCTCTGACAGAGTGGTTTGAATTAGCTGTTGAAAAGTGATAGAGGAGAAAAACAGTGTCTATAATGTTGTGGAGGGACAAATTGAACTCTGACTCAAAATGAAACATAATACAGCATACATGAACATATCTCCTTTCATTGGAAATGTGCTTAGAGCCTTAATTTAGTCACTTACTAATAATTTCTACTGAATATTAAAAAATCCTGGGTTTAATAGAGGTACTGGTTATGCAGCACTTTATTGTTCTTTCTATACCCGACCTCCACCTAACACCACTGTACCACAGATAATCTTTTCGTTTGTCAGTCTGGCTCTGTCTGTTAGCATGCAGCATGGCCTAATAGGATTAGATTTGTAGAGCAAAACTGTTGTTGCTGAGGTCTCAAATTTAGACGATACGCATTTCAGGGAAGTTCACTTCAAACCAACTATAGCCTGGTCCCATAGCAAAAATGTCATGAAGAACTGGAGTGCATTCTGTGCTTTGGTTTCATCCAGCTCATGCTAAGACCACAATGTGAACCAAAGCACAACAAGTGGGGGTGACTGGGAGACAGACTTCAGAAGCTCACTGCTGAGCCAAAAAGGCATATGTGGACAGGCCGACTTGCCCAGAGGTGCTTATGGTCCTGCCGCCTCTTCCCAGCCTTCTGCTCTGGAGGTCCCTGTCTTCCTTCTCTGACCAACTCCCACACAGTTAACACACTAAAACGCACTCATGACAATTACTGTCAGTCTGTACTTGCCTAGAAGTTTGCTGCTTCTCTTTTATACTTGATAGAAGGCTCAGTGTGCCAAACGGCTTCTGCTTCTATCTGCATCAGATGAGGAAAGGTAACAACTCTATGAGCATTTCTTCCATCACTAATGCCAACCTACCCATTCTTGCCTAGCCATGAGCACCCCCTCAGTGTGCTGGTACAACTCCTTTTGCAATGCAGTGATGAACCAGATCAGAGAACTGATCCAAGTTAAAAGTTACATTTCTTCTCTCTCCAGATAATTTTAACAAGGATTACTTCACTGACCTGTTCACTATATAGGCACATAAAAGTTCTTCTTGGCATAGCTGAAGAGGCAGAGCAGGGAGAAGAATGAATGAGCTACTCAGACTGATGCTACCATCACAAATTGATGGCCACTGCAGAAGAAATGATGGCATAACAAAAGATGTTATCTCTCCCTGCCAACTTTTGCCTTACTTCTATCCTTTGAAGGTCATAGTTGCAAAACCAGTTCATTTAAATTGGCTAAACCAGCATCCTACTATATAGAAGTGGATCAACTGCCAGTCCCTAGACCTGTCCAATCTCTGCCCATGCATACCTGCCACTTTAAAGCAAAGGAAAGAGCCTTTGTGTTGCAAATATAACACATACAGTATGTGTACAAGCAAGGAAAACATGCTTTTGTAGCTTGACTGACTGATTAAGATCATTTCCCACCTGTCTTCTATGTTTCCAGTCTTCATCTTCCCCTCTATGCCAAAGGGAGATGGAGGAATCTCCTCCTTTACTTGTTCTCTTTGTTCTTCTTTGACAGCAGAAAAAGTTTCAGGGAAACTCCTTTCTTTTAATTGACTGTTATCTAAGCAGCAGGAAAAAGGTCAATGAAAACAAAGCCTTTATAGAATGAATAAATGAAAAATAAACATCATAAAATAAGTTAGAAATGTTTATATTTTCAACAACATATGCCAGATTTTGATTTTTGAAAACACTTTATAGAATACAATTGAATTAAGTAGGTGGAAGGATGCAGCCCATGAAAAAAAGAGGCTCCTGATCCTCAAGTCTAGTTGCTGGAAGTAAGGAAAGGGCAAATGGTATGATTTGTACTCCTTGCCTCTAGAGATTTGTAATGCTTGGTTAACATGTTCACTGCAGAACATTGCAGTGGAGACACTTTGCTAGACGGTACTGAACTACTCATGTACCTGTAATTATGTGACCTACAAGCCAGTTCATTAAACAGTTTAACAAGCAGTATTTGTACACATGAGACTTTCTAACTGGGCATTTTCTATTCTATTTCACAAAAGTGCAAATTTGTACATCTTCCTATTGAAGCTTACTGGCTATGTTCACTACGACAAGCAGGCTCCCACTTCAGTTACTCTTTTTTCTAAGTGTCAGCTAATGGAGACTTGTTCTTTTAGCTCAAGTTAGGCCTGCCAACTGGAGCAAAAAGCCTTTACTAGCTCATTCATACTACACACTGTTGCTGTAGCCAGGAACTATATAGCTCACTTCTTCACATTAATGCACCCAGTGCTACTGAAGTCCTTTGCAACATACTTAAAAGACTTTCTGGTCCAACAACAGGAATACAAAAGCTTTACATCCTTCCCTCAGCCTTTCCCAGCTACACACCAAAAATCTCCAGTCCAACAGCAGACAAGCAGTGCTGTTTCTGCAACCTTCTCACCTGCCTTGCACCAGAATACGGCTGAGGAGGCCGAGGTGACACAGCAGGTTGATGGCAGCAAGGGACACAGAACCCATGTGTCCCTCCTCACAGTCTCATGTGTGGGGCTATGCTGTCTCCAGAATGCTCTAATAGGAGACGTGCCCCAGCACTGTAATTTTCAACTGGTGCTTCCCCGTGCAAGGCAAGAACAATGTGTCCAAGCAGCTGTGTAATTCACCTTTGTTTTCTTTTCTGTTCTCCTCTTGAGCATCTTGTCTGGAAAGGTTTTTTGTGGCACTCTCAGTACACTGAAGCAATGGCTCGGTGCTTATCCCTTTAAATAAGATTGTGAAGTGTTATACAAGCTGCGGGTACACTCATGTTTATGTTTCCAGCAATAAAAACCCACACTTGTCACAACAGTCAGGAAGGTCTCGGTTCAGCCCAGTCCTCAAGCACACATTCAACTGAAGCATATTTCAAAGGCAACTGCACTGACCAGCTTCCAGTCAGGAGTCAACCTGATGTACTAAGGCCTCTGCACCTTCAAGCCTTAGTTTTACACACGCGAAGCAGGTCTAAATCAGTGCTGCTGTCAAAAAAAGCAGTCATAGCTCCCCCTGTCCTAATGTGTTCTTGCTCTCAGGTTCCTGCTGTCCTCATCCACGCCCCCACCATTTTTGCGGGCAGAAGTATTTCTGAAGCTCTCTGATAAACTTCACTGGGCAACTGACCCAGGTTCAGGTTAACCCAACAAGAAAATAATAGTGCCAGGCACAAGAAGGAGACAAGACTCTTTCAGTGACAGTACTGGTCCTGAGCTAGCTTGAAGAATAAGCAATTAAAGTTTCAATTGTACTACAGGACTGTCTCACGGCATCACAGTCAGGTTTGCTATAAAAGTTCAAAGGAATCCAGGATGCAGGTCTGATTTACATTCTCTTCCCCGTTAAGCGGTTTCATTCCCACTTCTTTTTGTTCCTCTTTCCCCCATTTTGAAATCAACTTTTGATTTCTTGCAAATCGCTCTTTCTTCTTTCTCACTCTTTGGTATCTTCCCACAGAAGACAAGGCTGCAAAGTGTAGCAAAGAGAAGACGCCAAGTAGCAGCTTACATTGTTTTTCCTCCAAACGATGCAACTCCATATCAATGTGAGAAACACCAAGATTGCTGACGAAGAACAGGCCTTCTTAGCTAAAGAAACACATTCTCTCACCTTTAGAAGCTATATCCACTTCCTACATTTTATGCTTCTCCCCCTAAATATAACATACTTCCTACTTCATATAACATGGCTTTTCCAATTTGATGACTTTCTGCTCCATTTATATCTACAAGGCCCAATTTCTCTGTCAGTATGACAGGCAGGATGACTGTGATTCAAAAAGTAAAAAAATCAAGTTTAAAATACTTTAAAAGCTTTTATAACAAGCCACCATAAAAACAAAGCACCTTTCCCTGACCTGCAATAAAATCAGTAACTATCACTAGCAAGGGCAAAAATTCACAGGATTTGCACAACAGCCTTAGCTTCGGATTTCCAGCGCTTTTTACCCACCTGAATCTGAAAGCTGCACTTGCTCTCCTGAGATTTCTGAACGGCTCTCGTTTGGCACGAACAGCGGGGATCTGCTTTGCCAAGCAGAGCGCATTGCCAAGGGAGAGGTCTGTAAGCACTCTGGGCTCTCAACCTGGGAAGAATTTTCTGATGGGAACTGGACAGGAATGAAAGTAGCTGGAAAGCACGGAAGGGGTGGCATCATGGCTACTAGGTGGGAAGGTATCCCAGGAGAAAAGCCTAAAAATAATTACCAGAGAAGAAAAATTAGAGAAGCTTAAGACAAATATTTTGCACCGAACTACAAATCTCTTGCTAAACTGGTATTGCACAAAACTGATGTTGCTTTCATGTTCCCTGGTAGTTTGCATGTTCAGAGTGAAATTATCAAATTCTGCTTCTGTTATTTTATTTAAATTGTGCTTGCTGCAACCATCAGTCATAACCAAAATTATCGCATGCTACAGGGATGCTGAATTAAAGAGAATTTACAAAGCACTCCTGTGTACATAAAACACACATTTCCCCTAGGACTTCTGTTGTGGTTTAACCTGGCAGGCAGCTAAACACCACACAGCCGTTTTCTCACTCCCCCCTGCCCAGTGGGATGGGGGAGAGAATCGGAAAAAAAAGTAAAATTCGTGGGCTGAGATAAAGACAGTTAATAGGACAGAGAAGGAAGGGAAAATAATAATAATGATAAAAGAATATACAAAGCAAGTGATGCACAATGCAATTGCTCACCACCCGCCGACCGATGCCCAGCAAGTCCCCGAGCTGTGGTCGCTGCCCCACGACCAACTCCCCCCAGTTTATACACTAAACATGACGTCACATGGTATGGAATATCCCTGTGGCCAGTTTGGGTCAGCTGTCCTGGCTGTGCCCCCTCCCAGCTTCTCGCTGGCAGGGCATGAGAAGCTGAAAAGTCCTTGACTAGTGTAAGCACTACTTCGCAACAACTAAAACATCGGTGTGTTATCAACATCATTCTCACCCTAAATCCAAACCACAGCACTGTACCAGCTACTAGGAAGAAAATTAACTCTATCCCTGCTGAAACCAGGACAACTCCTTAAGTCCCTTAGCAGGTAAAAGTTAAGTATTGCAAAGTATCACTGAGGCACTCCTCAATGCAAAAGAGAAGAAGGTTTTCCTTTTAGCTCTGGATGGCTGATTACACATTTTATTAGAAGAATTCCAAGTGGAAAAGACGTAAGCAGTTCTGCATAGGGACCGGAGGCCAGGCTCACTACTTCCAGGAAAGAAACCCCTTTATAAGGTTACAAAATACCGGCTCGCTTCTTATTTTCTTTCTCCACACCATGATTCCTTTCTGTCCTGTGACCTGACTTCAACAAGAAGAACAGAGAGTGCCTGCAACTGAAATTGCCTCACCCCCCAGTTAAGGCATTTTTTGGAAGAAGGCTAATCTGTGGATTCAAATCCTGTCTGGCACAGACTCAAAAAAAAAGCCCAACTCGCTACTTCTGGACAGATGCTCTAACCACGCAGCTAGCAGGTGGGCAGAGCCACTTCTGTCTGTGTTACCATGAGACATTAAAATGCAAACCTGTAGTTCAACGAGGTTTTTGATTTGGTCACTGTATTATTTTTTTAAATGCATGGCAATATTAAAGTAACTACTTTTATCATAATAAGATAAATCGTAGCCCTAGTAGTTCTTCATATTTTACCTCTTTAAAGCTTAATGGGACCAGATTATGCAATGTCTTTTGCTACCCTCAACCTACACTGCCTCCACTAACAAATGAAAACTTTCAGTGCAGATTTTGGTCGGCTTTTCATTCAAGTAACCATTTTGTCTGAGGCTTTATATGCTAGCTAAATGTATCTAGATATGTAAATACACCCAAACAGCATCCTATCAATATATTTCTTACTGTATGAGCTTGGTCTTGAGTTCATGGTACAAACTGTACTTGCTTTCTTCAGAAATGTGTCAAGTGATTTACAGCACTGGGGCAGGGGGAAGAGAAATTTGCATGATGAAGCGTAACAGGACCCAAGGCACTTTCCTTCTCACACTGTTCAGTCCTTCCTGAGAACCTAAAGAGAAATTTGCATGATGAAGTGTAACAGGACCCAAACCCAAGGCACTTTCCTCCTCACACTGTTCAGTCCTTCCTGAGAACCTGAAGAAAGTGGTGCAGCCTAACTGTTCTGCTCACAGTGAACCAGTGGAAGTAACAACAAGCATCTTGCTAATTGCAGCATTTGGGCAGGGATTAATGAGCAACACGATTGCGCTGTGGATGTTCTGCTTTGATTAGGAAACTTGGAAGCTGCAGACTGTGTACTTGTTCAACCTGGTCATCGCAGACAGCTTGCTGAGCATTTGCCTGCCATTTCAACCAGACTTCTCTCTGAGGCAAAAAGCACAGGATCATGAAGATTTCATTTACTCAGCCATAGTCTTCATTCTGTCTCTTTCTCAAGCTGTCTCCCTAGTATTCAGCAGTGGCTCTTGACACCTATTTTGCAGTGGCATAGCTCCATCAGGAAAATCGGTACAATGACAGCCAGGCCTGCTGGTATCACTGCTGGTGTGGCTTGGCTTCTGGCTGCGGGGTCGATGATTGAGATCCTGCTTACTGCCCCCAACCAAAAAAACTGATTGTCACACAGCAACAAGTTTGAAAATGAGACCTTCAAACAGATGTGACACTGTGTTCTTTCTCAAGTTTCTTGTTCCCTTCAGTCTCATATTGCTTTGCACTGCTGGCATCATCGGGAAGCTCAGAAAGGTCCCCACAACACAAGCAGACTACCTAAGCTGCAGAATGCCAGGCTTTTGGTGGTCACTGTGAGGGGGGTGTTTGGCCCTTGCTTCCTACCTGGTGCATATACCCCAGTGTACACCTACTGCTTGCGTACATGCTCCGCAGCTCTGACAGCCATACAGCTTTTCAAGTTAGAATCATAGAATCATAGAATAGTTTGGGTTGGAAGGGACCTTTAAAGGTCATATAGTCCAACCCTCCTGCTGTGGGCAGGGACATCTTCAACTAGATCAGGTTGCTCAGAGCCCCGGCCAACCTGACCTTGAATGTTTCCAGGGATGCGGCATCCACCACCTCTCTGGGCAACCTCTTCCAGTGCTTCACCACCCTCAGCGTAAAAAATTTCTTCCTTATATCTAGCCTAAATCTACCCCCCTCTAGTTTAAAGCCATTCCCCCTTGTCCTGTCGCAACAGGCCCTGCTCAAAAGTCTGCCGCCATCTTTTTTAGAAGCCCCCTTTAAGTACTGATAG